TGTTGCTGCTGATCTGTTTCATGTTGCTGCTGATCTGTTTCATGTTGATGTGTTCATGCGTGCTCATCTGCTCACACAGACTCATGTTCGTGCTGCTGTTCGACGTAATGTTTTTATGCTATTAGTGCTTAGTGTATTTTTAGTTGATGTTTTTCTTAGTTCTTAGATGTTATCATTGTTTTTCTTTTACATTTTATTGTTGGATGTAACTGGGACCCTGTGTACATAATTACGTTCCACCACATGTGGAACAACAATAAAGAATCTCTGACTCTGACAAATCCTGTGAGGTGGACATGTCCAAATCTGGGCTGGTGTTTTGCTACTTGGGTGTAAAGTTTAAATAACCATAATATATGTACAAATTAGTGTGTAATTAATCATAAAAACCTGTAATATGTTGATGTTAATCAAAAGAGTTTTGCATCACATTCTGTTTGCTGTGAGGAGACGTTGCTCGGTCTGGCATCTGGTTTCAACTCTTTGTACCATAACTGCAGTGCCACGAGCTCGCACGTGATCCAAAAACAGAACTCAGCCACAATGCAGAAAAGTTGGCAAACGTTTGTTTTTATCAACTGTTGATGCATTGATTCTCCTCCAAACATTTCTACGGTGTCTGTGGCCAAAGAACCCCACCTAAGCTGGGTTGGTCCCCAACACTCTTCCAAAGTGGGAAAGGCAGTTGTTCTGGTTCCATTTTTCAACTTCAAAAACAAGCAAAGTATGTAATTTGTCCAAATGTTTTATGTGCAGCTGCCACTCTTCTTTGTCTTTTTTTAGGTCTTGACTCTGTTCTGCTCTTTCCATCTTTATTGGTGTATTTCTGGCATCACTGACCCTCATCAGATGCAAACTTCTTGTGTCTTCAATTAACTTCTGACCTCTTTCCTTCTCTTTTATAGACCTCTGTGGCAGTGGACTGTTTTTGTATTTATTCCAGTGGGCTAGAATCAGCAGACTGAATCAGTTGGTTTCCCAAATCCTATATTTTTACAGAGTATTTCCAGTTGAAATGCACCTTTATGGAAGAGACTGTGAGCATGTGGTTACAGCTTTATTTTCCATCCACTATGAATGATGTAAACTAATGTGAGGGCATCCAAGTTAGCATGTTAAGTATGCCTTCGCGGAGTAAACATGGAAACAATTTCTGCCATGGAGATGTTTTTTCTGCAGTGTTTCTTCACTCTATCCTCTAGTTTCTCTAATGATTGTGGGATTCCGTTTCCAGCCATAACCACTTTCTCCACAGCTGCTAATTAATTCAGTGATCCACTTCCACACCTGCACCTGATCCACTGAGTGTTTAAACTCCTTGCAGTCATTCATCTGATGGTGGAACATTATGATACCTTCTGGTAACTTAAGTGACAGCCAGTAACCTTGTTCCTTGAGAAACTTTGACTAACCTTGATATTATCTTGTGTCCTCCAAATCCTGCTCCTCCGTGTCCTCTAAGAACTCATTACTCCTTGTGACCTCGCCTCATCAGCATTCTGTTCCTGCAGTTGCCAAACATCAGCCTGGATCAAAACCACCGAGCACCTTCAACCTGTTCCTCTCTCCAACAATACTCACCCTTTCTGGACCATGCTTCATCTCATTTGGAAACCTAGGTCCTCGTTTCTCCCTCCTCTTCAACACAACCTGTAAAACAAGACATAACAAACAATAATCTACAATTTCCATTCTTCAAGAATTCAGAAAGCTGCCTGTACCTTGTCCCATTTTCCCTTACAGTCCAGAATGTTTCCTGCACTTTATTTCTTTATTTTATTTGTATAGCGCTTTTCTAAATACTCAGAGATGCAATACAATACAAATACGTCCATTACAGGGCTACATAGAAACAAACGAGATGCTTTCACTCACAAGTTAAACTAGCATGCATGCTTTTGGTCTATGGGAGGGAAAAAAGAAAACCCATGCATGCATGGGGAGAACATGCAGGTGATCCTGCAGCCTCCAGGATGAAAGATGACAGATCTAACTAGGACACCACCATGATGCCTTATTCTGATACCCTAACATGCAATTTCCTCCAGAAGACATCTAGCTGCTAACTAGAGCCCATCTGTGTGTAATTTAATGTACAAATGCAGCTGTTTTGTGAAGGCCCAATAGGTTGGTAACAGAACATTATGAACAAACAGCATCATGAAGACCAAGGAACACACCTTACAGGTCAGGGATAAAGTTGTTGAGAGGTTCAAAGCAGGTTAGGATCAGGATTTCAGATATATTTCAAACTCAGGAATGCAGGTAGGACTCAGAGCAGGACTCAAGAACTCAATGATAAAGAAAATACTTTTTATTTACAAAATTAAAAGGCTGCCGTGGCAACAGAACTACTTACAAATTATAAACGCTGGGAAACTCAGGCAATCACACAGGACAGAAATCATGACTAGCTGGTAAACAGCACAAAGCACCATTGAGAATCAAATGGAGGAACGCAGAATATTAAGTCAAGTCAAGTCAAGTCATATTTATTTATAGAGCACATTTAAAACAGAAACTGTTACCAAAGTGCTTAACAAAAATATCACAACATCAAATAAAAAGTAGCAAGATATATTTACAGCACATGGAATAAAAATCCATCCATCCATCCATTATCTTTACCCGCTTATTCCATTTTGGGTCACGGGGGTCGCTGGTGCCCATGTCCAGCAATCACTGTGCGAGGGGCGGGGTACACCCTGGACGGGTCGCAAGTCCATCACAGGGACACATAGAGACAAACGAGACAAACAACCATTCACTCTCTCACTCACACCTAGGGACAATTTAGAGTTACCAATCAGCCTAACATGCATGTTTTTGGTCTGTGGGAGGAAACCGGAGTACCCGGAGAAAACCCACGCATGCACGGAGAGAACATGCGAACTCCACCCAGAAGGCCCCTGGACCGGGGTTTGAACCAAGGACCTGCTCACTGAGAGGCAGCAGCTCTACCAGTTGCGCCACCGTGCTGTCCTTGGAAAAAAAATATAAAACCAAAAACAATTAGAAACAATGAGATACTAAATCAGATCACATTGTGTCAAAATTCAAGGAAATAATAACAAAAAGCATAAACTCAGTCAGAAACAATGAAATACTAAATCAGAGCTGATGACCTTGTGTTAAATAGGAATAATAACAAAAGCATAAACAGAATCAGCATCAATGAAAAACTAGATCTAAATCCAATCACACTGTGTTAAATGTCAGTGAGTACAGATGTGTTTTTAGGAGAGATTTAAAAGCGGAGATTGAGGTGGTCTGTCGAATGTTGATGGGCAGATTGTTCCAAAGTTTAGGGCCCACGACTGAAAACGCTCGATCTCCTCTGAGCTTCAGCTGGTTTTTGGTACGGCCAAAAGCAGTTGGTCTGATGATCTCAAAGCACGAGAAGGAGTATAAGGATGAAGAAGGTCGGAGAGATATGATGGTGCAAGGCCGTTAATGCACTTGAATGTCAGCAGGAGAATTTTAAAATCAACTCTGACACGTACAGGAAGCCCGTGAAGAGAGGACAGAACCGGAGTAATGTGCTCAAACCTGTGAGTTCCTGTTAGTAGCCGAGCTGCAGCATTTTGTACGAGCTGGAGACGTGAAAGTGAAGCCTGACTAACCCCAACATAAAGTGAGTTACAGTAGTCCAGCCGGGTTGGGGCAAGGGTGGGGCGTGCGTTTTCGATTCCTGAGCTTTAACGGGGCGACTGAGTCCAGGATCTGTACACACGCCTCCTTGATGCTGAGAAAGCAACTCTTTTGTAGTAAGACCCACAGAGAGTTCAGAATCTGAAACAGAATTACTAGCAAAGATGGAAGAGAAGAGTGTGGGAGTGGAAGGGTTAAAAATCCTACAGGGCTTGGGTGTGGGGGGAGGTGCAGGTTCACAAATCAAAGAGGTGTTGAATAAAACCGGTTTGTGGTTCGAACAAAGTGTCACCAATTTCTAAATCAGAAACAGACAAACCATACGTTAAAACTGTTAAAACTGAGTGTGGCCCTGCTGGTGAGTCGGACCAACAACACTCTGAACAAAGTTAAAGGACTGGATGAGGTCTAGAAAGTCCTGAGCTAATGGTTTATCAGGACAGCACACGTGGATATTAAAATCTCCTAAAATCAAAACCCGATCATATTGGAGCAGAACACTAGTTAGAAAGTCAGATAGTTCATTTAAAAACTGTTTATGGTATCCGGTGCGTCTGTAAAAAAATAGCACACAGAACTGAGTTGGAGCGACCCAGCTCACAACAGAGCAGTTCAAAACTTGAATAATTGGCTGAACCATGTGTGGGATTCCTGGGTTGTCTGTCACTCACTCTTCCTTCCACAGCCAATTAACCT